GCATCCCACAGATGTTCGATCGGGTTTAAGTCCGGTGATCTTGAGGGCCAGGGGAGCACATTGATGTTGTGGTTCTGGAGGAAGTCTCTAGTGTGACGTGCTGTGTGGGGCCTGGCATTGTCCTGTTTAAACAACTCCCTCTGGCGATCAATGATTGGAAGGAGGTTTTGGGCGTAGGATTTCGTCACAGTACCGTTGAGCTGTCAGGTTGCCCTGGATCATCACCAAATGACTTCTCCTACGGCAAGTGATCGCCCCCACATCATAACACTGTCCCGGCCGAATCTGTCCACCTGGGGAACGCAAGCGTCGGCGAAACGTTCACGTCGACGTCTGTGCACCCGCATTCTTTCCATCGCGTCGTTCCATAGCGATCCTGCGCCACAGTGGTCGCTCGAGGTCGCCCACTACGAGGGGCATCTGCTACCGAATTCTGCCTGCGATATCTCTCCCAGAGCCGTGAAATGGTGCTTTGCTGAACATTCATGCGTCGGGAAACTGCACGTTGAGACTGGCCAGCTTCAAGCAAACCAATGGCGATATGACGGTTGGCTTCACTTAGACGTGGCATTACTGGTTTACTAAGATGTCGAAATGGCAGAACTTACCTTTGGAAACCAAATGTATTTTACAGCAACAAACAGATAAACGACAGATCTATACGATCATTCAATTTGGAATGATTGCTCATTCAAGCTAAAAACGTAACATTTTGGGCAGACCCCACTCCTTCCTTTAATGCAAATAAACGGCATTGGTAGACATAACGAAACATTACGACTTTATGGGTGACACCTCGTTTATTGCGTAGAAGGACGTCTCTATGGCGATTCTGTTACCAAGCAGAAAGTGACTACAAGCAGATGATGAGAAACACATATGTATAGTATGCTGTGAGAAGCAGGAGATTAACAACAGCTACAGCAGGTAACTGAAAACAAGTATTTGGTGGAGATGTGACCAATAGATAACAGAAGACATGAAGCCAGTATACAGGGATCCTAAATTGTAAACAAGCTAATCAAATGCTTATTGATAGAGTTTATTGCTTTGCTTAAACTCTTCAGGGGTTTACCAGGATGGCTTGACTTTGTCATACTAAGTTTGATTCACAGATTACCTGTGACAGATAGACTTCAGGAAACTCTGTTCACAATGCAGATTTCAAACATTCAACTCCAAATACTGTGATCTGTGGTAATAATTCCTGGTCAGGACAGGTCCGATTACTTATCTTGCCTTACTTTTTAACTCAATGTTATTCCTAACGTAGGATCTTTCAAATGTTCTTTTTATCTAGAATCATCTGCGACATATATTTGTGTGCAGGTTTCAATTAAAATTATTCAACAAGATCTGAAATGAATAATATAATCAAACATTCAATCACTTATTTCTAGTAAATGATGTACATCTAGTACGATGTACTTTAGAACAAAGTCATTTATTTAGACTGCATTTGTTTGGACAGAATAACCGATTATCTATTAAAAATCTAACAAAGGCCAAAGAACTCGAACACCACGCACGTGAATACAACAATGAGCGCAAAGCCAAAAAGGCCAGGGCCCCGTTTCACAATTTCAAGTGATCATAGCGCTACGACTGTTGTACTTCCTATACTGTAGAATAGACTTGCGACAGTCGTAGCGCTACGATAGTTTTGTGAAACGGGGCCCTGTTAGTTGTGACACGTACTGCAATTGCAGAGAGACTTACTGCAATTGCCCTATTACGCCCCGGCAAGAGTTCAATCTTATGACACGTAATAGACCTTGATCTATCAATCAGTGGTTATGTTACAATATTTACATAATCCATGTAACGTAGCTCGACGTATCTGTATCCATATGGAAAGTGACAATTGAATTGGGATATCAGCTAAAACATACACGTGCAAAGATATTTTTTAAATGCTAAAACATACAAATGAAAACTACAACATCGTTCTTATAATAAAAATGTATTCTGAAACAGAACACAGAGAATGAAGACTGAGTAGAGTTACATAAGAACTCGTTCTTTGTTGATCACATACAACTGCGGAGAAAAAACAACATGTTTAAAACTATTATCCAAACTTTTAAAATGTATTTGGAGACCACATTTAGGTTGCGACTCACGCGTCAGGCGCAGTTGCATAGATGTAATGCACATGAGGATTATCCTTGAAAATACCGCTTGTTCCTGCGGTTTCAGTAACTTTTTCTCCTCTTGTATTATTTACTCACAAGCAAGAAGCACAATGTATTTCTACAATATGATATGAACTCATTTGTGTGTGATCACCAAAATAGAACAGGCGATAGTGAAAGTAGTTTGTCTGTACTCTCTTCCTGACACAGACATTTGAGAGATATCAAAATAGGTGATTCCAGGCACAAACTGAACGAAGTAGTGGTAAAATATTTCTATACATGTACATACAAACCTGAACAAGGGTTGTAAACGGAGCCAAACACAATTTGTTTTGCTTTGCATATTCAATACAAAATTGGATATCTTGGAATATTGTCTTGTGCACACTGCCGAGAATCAGAATCCCTGGTTCAAAAGGGATGTTCATGTTGCTTTCTCTCAGAGAATGGTGATAATTTTCTAAACTACGAAATGTGCAAAAGTGTTGGATTCTTGCTTTAGGTGCAGGTGACAATCACCAGAACACCTGCTCTTAATTCAACAAAAGCGATTTGACATTTGATAGAAAAGAGTGAGTGAGTTAAGTTCCACGCTGCTTTTAGCAATATTCCAGCAATAATACGGCGGGGAACAACCGAAACGGCCGGGTTTCACACATTGTACCTATGTAGGGAATCGAACCCGGATTTTTGTGTGATGAGCGAACCCATTAACCACTAGGCTACGAGACCGCCCCTCGATAGAAAGGACGAGTTTGTTGTACGAGAAATCATGTAAGACACGTACTAACTCTTCGGTCCCTCACTCCTGAGCTGCAGGGGCTTCTGTTTATCTCAAAACTGAAAAGAATATGTTTGAATAGGGGGCTGTGAAAGCCGAATAACTGTCCGTGGCTAATACGTTTTCGCCCTGGATGCAATATAATGTAACAACAAAAAGCAATGGTAACTACTTTCTACGAGTCACTCGTAGCCACACTATGCAATTCCCATGCATATTTCTGACATTTGTTTAAGATAGCACTATCTAAGTAAATTCTTATAGACAAAAGTCACAAAATTGTGTGATGTCACCGGATGGCCTATGAGTGGGATGTGCTCTTCTCTGCCACATCCATGTATGGAGCAATAGGAGGCAGAGCGTCACCATATTTCTGCAACAATTCCACAGCTAGGTCCAGGGCGTGTGAGGCGTTGTCAGCAATCACTGTGTTCGCCAGACTACGTGTCCAGGTGTTGTGATATGAAGATAACTTCCGGTATGAGTTGTCAATTAACACGTGAGGAATGTCCAGTAAAGTGCTGAGGATATGTCCATGTAATCTGTCTGTAATGACCACACGACCTCGCTGGAGAAATATCAAACCATTATTGGCCATCAGGAAAGCAGTTTCCATTGTCGTTTTTCCTTTTGGTGTTTTCCAACCCCACCAATCTGAACAGTGTACAGTTACCCCTGGCGGAAGTTTTGGCAATACATATCCAGGAGTCTCCTCGTCTGAACGCTTCAACCACAAAATATCAAAAGAAGGGGAGATAAATCTTGGAACAGCACCAACCTGAAAGGCCATGTCTGGAGCCATCATTAGTGTGGGTTTACCTTTGAAGTAAGTCTTTGCGTATCCTAAAGATTGCCTGTCTCTAAGAATCATAGTGAAGTTCCCTTGATTTGTGTACAATTTCTTACAAAATTCAAGATGTTTTTCGGAATGTTTCCTCAGAAATATGCTCTGAGGAAACAACACCATCTTAAAGTTTGAAAACCTTTGGAATATCTGTTGGCGTAGTCTATCATTTGAAGAATACCCCACGAGGTTCCCACCTCCGTGAATTAACACAACCAGGTCCTTGGGGGAATAACCAGAAGTCTGGTTCTTGGCATAGTCAAGATTCTTGTTGGTACAAGCATAAAAGTTACAGTAATACAGAAGTTGTATACCCAGGCGTCTCAGAAGATACACCTCGCCCGTTGTTATAGCAGGGTCACCTTTGTTTTCAAAAGAAGCAATGTCCAACAGTATTGCATATTTGTAAGGAGATAGTAAATCAGAAAACAGGTTGAAATGAATTCTCTGCGCCTCCTTTATGACGGCAATGGACGATGTCAGAGTTGGAGAAAGTGTATCCGTTTCTTCTGGCGTCAGGATTAGTTTTCTTTGGAGAATTTCTCCTGCCCTGGTCGTGTTTGTGGAAAACTCCGGGATATACTTCGAAAATGCATGTCCTTCAAATGATTTCCCTGAGAACTCATTACATTTGGTAATACTCCCTGGTCTGAAATAACGATATACATCGTGGATGTTGCTGTTGTTTGTGCCGACGAAGGGTCTCACAATGATAGCACAGAAACAGAGAAAGGAAAGTCCCAATAAACGTCTTCCAACGAATTCTGAAAAGGAAAAAGAAAGAACAATTATGTTTGATCACAGTATGTATGCATACGAGTAGTAATGTTTCTGTACTCACATTGAAGAAGTAGATGTGTCATAGAAATTGAATACTTGCCCAAAATGTTCCAACTCATTAATACAAGCAAATGCTTGAAGATGTCAACGACCCCAGTTAATATAATGTCAACATGTATGTAAAATGATGCTTCCAGTTTTGCAATCCATTTCTGAGATATTTTCATATTCATTGAAATTCTACATTTCAGCTACTAAATAGCGAAATACTTACTTGTTGGTAGACTAATAATGGAGGTGAGGGCGTGTTCTTTTTTGGCCAAGACATAGATAGTTAAACCAAAGGTACAGATTCCAAGTCCGATGAAGTTAGCAAACGTTGCCATCCTTTGCCCTGCTGAGTAAAGCATCAGCACAACGAGGACCCTCTTAAAGATGTTGGCGACAGAGTGACTGACTACAGACATGTAGAGAAGCACGATGTTGGTGGAGATGTAGGAGTAGATGACGTGGAAGACGCTGGAGCACAGTCCGGTGTTAACCAGGAATAAGAACAAGGTTGACAGACGTTTTTGTGAAGTAAGGTAGTTAGTGCCAACAGCCAGGGCAACACAAACACCTGCAATGCTGAAGACAAATCTCTTTGGTCTCAGCTGGATGTTTGAAGTGGAAGTGTCCTTCTGTTCCAGTTTGATAGCCACGTTTCTGAAGGCCAGGATTAAGTTGGACGCGAAGGCCACGGCAATACCAGCAGCTGTCAAGGGCGTGTTAAAAGAATTTCCACAAAAACCAACAGCACCTCCTATGATGATAGGAAGAGTAATATAGGCGGAGGGTGGTACAGGTGTTCCTAAAGCCAGACGCTGAATAATGGCACTGGTTACTGGTTCCAGGAGCTTTATGGCGAATGTTGACGATGCATGTACCATCGTCATGCTGTAGTTTGTTGCCATGGTAGCCAACGCGTGGCAGGAAAGTTTCACCCATATGATCTTTTTGGCCTCTGTGGAACGTGGGCGCCAGAGACGTAGATCGGTGAGCAGACAGCACATGGTAACCTGACATAGTGTAATGATAGACGCCCATAAAAGCCCATTATCTTGGACGTTGGCGGATGTTCCCAAGAAGAGATAGGTAGACTGGTGGCAAAGGAACGAAGTCACAGCCCAGCCGATGAATGTTGCGGAACCAAAGATGAACGTCCACTGAAAATAATAATAAGTATGGAATTTAGATTAGGTAGATAATGTGTAGGGTTCATTTCAATAATGAATCGATGTCAAAATCTAAAAGGTAAAAAAGTTATTTATCTGTTCGAATAACGTGATATTTGAGTAGCATCAGAGTGGGCGTGAGTGCCATTTGTACCTGTGGGAGATTGCACTAGAAAGAATAAACTCAAAATGACGCTATGTTTAAAGAAGGTTACCTCTCTTCATTGCAATCATTAGCAATCTGAATACCAACAACGTATCATTTTTTAACTGTTGTCAGTAGAGGGGGCCAACAACGAAATCATTTGATTTTTCCAAGTTATCGAGGTGTAAGAACAGTTGCTGAAACTTGTACTCGTACTGCACATGTTGCTCGCCTTTGATCGTAGCAAGTGCACGTCTAAAATCAATGTATGGTGCACCCAACGGTAAATATAACCATACACAACAAACGTAATTGTTATGCAAATATATATGGTTATATGGGCCTAAAACATCGTATGTCTTGCGATAGTTTGTTTCCAACTGTATTATCAAAAACCACTTAAAGCATGCCATTGAATACTGCAATGTTCGAGTACACCCTGTCGCTTTAAGTGTTATTGATCTATGTGTTTCGTCTTTACAATTACTGAGTACATCCTGTAACATCCATATTTATTGATCTCAGGAAAATATAACTGTGTCTGGTACGTAAGTCCCAAAATCTTTCAAAGTAAAATGTTCACGTACCAAGTTTTTAAACGTAGTATTTTTGTTCTTTTAAATTCCGGCTAAATTATCCTACAGTCGCCTACTAGGCTCCATGCAGGTAGCAAAAGTAATGTAAGTCCCCATAGTTCCTAGTATGGTGATGTACCATCAGTTGTTTGCGATCTATAGCCCGTGTTTTTTATTGTATTGTCTTCTTTAATTGGAATGTTTTAGCTTTGTTCGCTAGTTTTATATTATATCTGTGATTATCTAGTATTTTACTGTCCATCGTCGACAGGTTTTAATCTTCAAAATATTTTCACTTTTTATTGTATAAATTGTTTTCGTCACGATATGGCTGAGATATTGCCCATGTGACGTTAAATATTATTAACTCACTCACTCACTATAACTGTGTCCTCGTACCCTTCAGCCCTTTTCTTTGGAGGGGCTGAGTGCATACTGGTATTTTTCAAGTACAATACTCACAAACGACACGTACCAAAGAGATCATTGAAAAGCCTATCGTTTTTGCCACACAAACATAATAGTAAAAATGTCATAATAGTCAAGTCAAAGTGTGACTAAACCTCAAAACAATTGGTACGGACATGATTTGAGTGTTTTGAACATGTTTAAGTTATTTATAACTAATGAGTACTAAAAGGTCCAACCTTGAAATATGATGCACATGTTGGACCAGACAATCCAGTGATCAACAGCATAATATCGATCTACGCAATTGTGAACCGATGACATATATCAACCAAGTTAGCGAGCCTGACCACCCGATCCCGTTAGTCGCCTCTTACGACAAGCATGGGTTACTGAAGATCAATTCGAACCCGGACCTTCACGGGTCAGAGACAGTAATAACTGAACAAGATATATCAGGTGGCTTGAACTATACTGATGGTGACCCTGAACACCAAGAGCTTTTCAAAGGGGTGACAGGGATACCCTTGGTGTCGTAGTCTGTATACTTGAATTAAATTTGAGAATCATGCTTGGTGAGAATGCTATTACAAGCAAAACTTAACAGTAACAGAAGATATTCTGAGTATCAGTGAATCAACACTTTATTTCCGTACAAAGGCCATCGGGCCCATAAACATACAGTTTCATACATTATAATTTGCATATATGTATACACGCCCATCTGCATACATGTATACGGGTAATCTGAACATACAATACAGGTTAATATGGATAAAGTAGATAAAGATATGATATAATAATACAAAAGTATAACATGGTATATAATATTATCATTCTTGTAATAGCTTACATCTTCGTTCATAAGAATGCATTATATATATGCTGAGCATTTTCAAACTATGTACGTTATTTGTCATATAACGTAAGTCATCATATCTAGGACAAATGAATGTAAAATGGTATGCGTCTTCTACACCTCCGTAAAAGATAGGATCGGATCGGATCTCCAGTTTTGTATAAAAACATCCACTAAACGCGTTTTGAAGATTCCGATAAAACTTACACGATTTCCAACAGTTTGTGATAACAAAACAAATCCAAATCCATAAGAAAAGAGCAAATAGCGATTTTTTGAAGCCCATGTCTCATAGCCAAGGTTATCGAGATTAACTAACATTTCATAAGCTTTCTTTGGTATGCGATCTTTGTGCATTGTTATTATTTTAATCCAGTAGTTAAGACAACGAACAGCTGCATTTACAAAAATAAGGAAACGGCCACATTCCCCATACACAATAGCGTTAGGTGTCTGAGTTCCAACGTTTAGGTATAATTTGCAAGCCGAAAGATGTATTTTCTCAATGCATTCATATTTTTTTATATCCCCACATTTCTGAAGCATATAATAGGATAGATTGTATTTGACTATCAAATATTTTGAAAAAGATATCCGGTGATAACGAACCGATTTTTCTAAGGTTGCCATTTAATTCCATTAATGCTTTTTTACAACGCAAGGAGAGATCGGATAACGATTTGTCCAGGCTAACATTACAAGTCAATAGAAAACCTAGATACTTATTGCTATTGACTATCTTTAAGTTATTACCTTGAAAGTACCATGCATCTGTACTTTTAAGTCTACCTCCCCTCCTAAATACAACAATATTAGATTGATCAAGGCTAACGTTTAAACCCCACTTATCTGAATACAATGCTAAAATATGTAATTGATTTTGAAGACCACATTTAGTATCTGAAGCTGAAATAACATCATCAGCGAAAAGTAGCATAAAAATTTCTATCATATCGGGAAATAACTGGATGCCGTGTTTTCCATTTTGTGAAATTTCAGTAGAAAGCTCATTTATGAACAGAGAGAAGAGGATTGGACTCAGCATACAACCTTGTTTTAGACCAAAAGGACAGTTAAAGTAGTCTGTTAAATGTGAATTACATCGCACACATGATTTAACGGAAGAGTAAATACCTTTTACCGCTAGCATCATTTTCCCACCCAAGCCGTAGCTTGATAACAAGCTCCATAATTTAAATCTGTCTATTGAATCAAAAGACTTTTTAAAATCTATGAAAGCAACAAACAATTTTTTTCTCATTTTACAATCACCATTTTTCAATAAGTGCAACCAACGTGAAAATGTTATCTATGGTAGGATAACCTCCTCTCAAACTATTCATGAAAATTGCCCATTGTGTTGTTAAACATAATTTGCTTAAAATACTTAACAATGAAATGCCCCTACAGTTATCTGGGTTGTGGATATCACCCTTCTTATGTAATGGAATAATAGCATCGAAAATTTCTTCTTCTTTAATTGGAGAATCCAAAATCTGTTACTCAAAATCGCTTGATTCAGGACATATATGTGCAGCACATGTAACAAAAGTATCTTGATCTTGATCAGTAAGATCAGTTTTATCATACAGTAATTTGAAGTGATTAAACCATGATTCAACAGAAATATCGGGTGGTGGTTTCCTGGGATTAGATATATTTCTCAGTTCCTTCCAAAATGATTTAGGATTGTGTCTAGATGTTGCCCCTATCGGGTTGCCTGCTTGTAAGATGCCAGTCCTGACATGGGTGCAGCCATCTTGAATCCCTAAGCGCCACCTAGTGTAGGGGAGACAACTCGTTCCAGCTTATCTTTCCAACTAGCAATATAAACTAATCTTCAAATTTACAACAATTTGTTAATTCTCTTACAAACAACAAATTTCATAACAAACTCTAGCATTAATCTGTAACCATAAGTAATGGTTATTTAACGAATACACTCTGTTTACACATCTTGAAGGTCACGCTGTACGTGAACTCACTGTCCCTGACATTATGTGCTCTGACCTGAGTTTACCTAACCAATTCCAGTTTTACCACACTTTCTACAAGCTTGATATATACATATATGGAATTTAGGAATGGTAAACACAATTAACACTTTAATATCTATGGGATAATTACCTGCAGGAAGAGAGAAACAACAAAACCAGTTGAGCGGGGTTCGTGGTAACAAGGATGGGAACCCCGTAGACGTAACACCATATAAGGCGGCAGGTTGCTGAGAGTTACTTCCCTTTGGCCATGTACGAAGACCAATGACGCTGACGCTGCCGTAACAGAGTGACAAAACCCCAAATACAAAGATTTCTTTGGGGGTCCCCTTTTAATTGTCATAATAAAAAAAAGGAGGCGATTACCACATGTTACATAGAGTTATATAACTTTCTGGCTTTTTAGCTGTTGGTTTATTCTCTTCCACTTCCTACATTTATTTCTGAGTATACAATATTTTTTTCTATTTTGGTCATTTCTATCATTTCTAAAGCGCTTAAGACCCTTTCTTGCCTCTAATTTAGCCCTGTGGCAATCACTACCATAGAAGTTCTTAGGTCTAGTTTTACATCGAGGTGACATTTTCATACAACCTGCCGCTTCTCATACACAATCTGCAAATTTGGAAACAGCATTATTAATGTCAATTGAAATTTCATCTATGAGTTAGTCTAGTACATGCTTTCTATCATATATATACTGAGTCAAAAAAGAAACTTCACAAAATGTAATTTGAAAAATAATGAATAATTTTTCTCTGATGATACATCTATGTATCCAAAATGGGATCCCTATCTTTCGACTCTAGAAAAACGTTAGCAAAACCCACTCAAACCCATCTATTCCTCGTGCAAATGACGTTAGTGCCAAATCGGGTTTTGCACGTATAGTCGTTCACGTGATCTTCGCATCAAAGTTTTCTTCATATGCACGTGTTTGCATTGGCCTCAAGAATTGAAAAAAACACTTTTAAACCACAGTTCTAACAGTACTTGAATTCCACGAT